AGGAGCTAAACGAGCTGTTAAATGGGACTAATGGAGCATTTCCCACTGACGCGCAAAACTCTCCCAGCGACCTGAACCTCGAGGGCGTATTTCAGAGGCCGGTGGCGGTGCTGGTTTGTTTCATCACGCGGGAAAAAAACAGTGAGCGCAAACAGAAAGCGTCTGCATGGCCACGCGACGGAGAGGGAAGCTCATTGATCAATAATTAATGAAGCGAAGCAGATGCGAGTGCAGCACAGACCGCAGATCTGGGTCAAAGGAAAATAATGTGTTTCAATGTTTAAACAGCAGCGTGAAAGATTTCATTAGAGGATGATGATTGGCTGGAGGGAAACCCAGTAAACATATTTATGTTTTCACACCAGGAAGAAACTTAGTTAGATTAGTTACTTGTTTTGATAAGAAATCCATTACATCGTTACCTAAACATAAAAACTTTCAGTTTGAACTGAAATAAAAGCGAAACCTATGATTAAGTACGGCGACTGTGGTCCAGGAGGCTCATTAAAGGCGTCTGTTCGCTGCAGTTTACATGTGTTTAAACAACAATAAGTCCTTATATTAAAAACTCAAATCGAAGATGGCATCACAGAGGCTTTTCCTCCTGCAGCCGCTCCACAAACATCCAAATCTCCCAGCTGGCTCGAGCCACCGGGTCCAAATATAGAAGGCTGGATGATAAAAGACGAGCGAGGCTGTCGGGAGGAAAAATGGTCCAACGCCAAAATGAGTTCTCAAGGCGCTGCGGCTGTAACGGCGCTCAGAGGAGGAGGAGGAGGAGGAGGAGGAGTCGTGACCTCTAAGCTTTTTGGGGTGACAACTCCGAGGAAAGCAGAGACCCAGGAGACTTCAAGGAGAGATGAACAAGCTTCATATGCCTGGACCGGCGTCCTCTGGGCACGAAGCAGAGGCTCTCTGATCAAAGCCGGGCGCAGAGAGAGAGCAAGTTTCTGAGCTCGCAAAAAAAGAGAAAACACAGCAGGGCAACGCACAACGGCAGCCAAGACGGCAACCAGGCCACAGGCAGAACTCAGACGATTGATGTTCAGGCTGAAATCTACACGAGGGTTCGAGGGAGACCAGCAGCGGCGTCTCTGTTCGACCCTCCTAACGGGGCTGGCTTTTAACAAATGCATCGTTTCAAAGGAGACGCAGAATTAGACGACGATGTTCGTAGTGAGGAAGTGTGATGCTGCGTTGCTTCAGTAAAGCTGTGCCAGCGTTTCGGCCTCGCCCTGCTGCAGTGACGAGCAGAGAGTTTGAGAGAAAGCTGCCTCTTCACAGCTTTAATTACATTTCATGTCCAGGTGTCATTAATATGTGTTTAAGGTCATTTATTAAACGCTGAGACATCAGGTTTGCAGACCGAACCGTACACATCAGGAACTCTGCAGTGGTTCATTTGCACACATCTGCAGGTCAGAGGAAATCTAAAGGTCCGTTTAAAGGAAATATCCCGTCTTTGTTTCTATCGTACAGTCTGAGTGTTACATAAGCTCATCCTCGTGCTCTTATATGAGTGGGGGGACATCAGGGTCGTCCACGAACCCTTCAGAGAAGAGATCCTCGGCGGCCGGTGGCGGTCTGGATGCTTCCATCGGCCCTTCTTTGGCGATCTGGCGTGGCACGATGTTGGCGAGGTCGACGGCTGTGCGCTTGCTCGGGTCGACTTCGAGCCTCACAGGAACGTTATTTTTCCTGCTGAGATAAAGGAGAATTATGAAGGTCTTAAATAAATAAGAGAGCTTCGTGAAAGACACAGGTGTAGAGAAAGAGAGCGCCTCGGGCCTCCTTCATTAATACATTAAATAAACAACAGAACTGGAAACAAGCAGCTGGTCCCACAGCCTCTACAAACATTTATCAGAGGATGGTCAATGAATTTCACTGTGTTGCTCAGCTGTTGAGATGCTCTCTTCACTGGATCAGCTGTGAGAACGGTTATTATAATGAATCCCTGCAGAGCTCCAAACCTCCTCCGGCATTAACATCAGCACAAAGACGGCACACCAGGAGCTTCACGGGATGTTTCTGAGGCCCAGCAGCTCCTGACATTTGATCCATGCAGTGTGTGAGTGTAGAAATGTTCACACACACAGTAAAGTAAGTAAGTAAAACTTTATTTATACAGCACCTTTCAAGATAAAAATCACAAAGTGCTTCACAGAAGCTAAAACATAAAAATAAAAATCAATAAAAGCAAGTTTAAAAAGAGTTTTTAGCTGTTTTTTAAAAGCGACCACTGAGTCCACAGATCTCAGCTCAAAGGGAGACAGTTCCACAGTCTGGGGGCCACAGTCACAAAAGCTTTGTCGCCTTTTGTTTTCAGCCTCGTGTGTTGGACAGCAAGCAAGCCCTGGTCACATGACCTCAGGGACCTGCTGGGAATGTATGGATGTAAAAGTTCACTTATATATGTTGGTGCTTAAACTGGATTCTGAATTTAACGGGGAGCCAGTGCAGCTGGATCAGCAGGGGTGTGACGTGGAGAAGCTTTGCAGCAGCGTTCTGAACACCTTGCAGACGCTCCAAAGAGGCTTTACATAAACAAGTAAACAAAGAATTACAATAGTCCAGACGAGATGAAACAAATGCATGAATGACAATTTCTAATTCGGAGCGCGATACAACGGGACTCAGCTTAGCAATGTTTCTCAAGTGATAAAAACAGGAGCGAACCAGAGATTTTACATGAGCATCCAAAGTCAGAGCTGAGTCCATACTAACACCAAGGCTCCTGATAGACGGTTTTGCAAATGTAGCAAGTGGACCCAAGTTTTCCATAACACTAGGTACAAACAAGAACTTCAGTCTTCTCCTCATTTAGTTGAAGAAAGTTTCCAGCTTCACAGTTACACAAACTGACGTTCCCTGTTTCTCTGTGTCAGGAAACACGTTCACCTCTCGTACAGAGATAAGGTGGTGACGGAGAAACAGCGACTGAAGTCATTAATAAAAAGGGCGAAGCTCAGACTGTAATCACAGAGCTGCTGGTGGATGAAAAGGATTCGTCTCCAACATTAGGATTCTCCAGCAATATCCACGGTAGTCTTACAGGAAGTCAGAGTAAGTCTGGAGTCATTTTAGTGAATATCGGAAAATCCTGAACATGGTTTTAAGATGCTCAACATTTGGATTTAGATTTAAATCTTAGTGAAAATGGACGCAGGAAGGAGAGTAAAATGTAGAGTTTATGAAACGCACAAAAAGAAAATGATTTCCTCAAAGAATCAGTTCAACCTTCAAGCTGTTTGAAAGCTGGTTCACCTGAGCAGTCGCTGCTGTTCCCACGCTGGTAGTTTTCATCTGTGTGGCTGCTGACCGGCAGGTAAATCCACCAAAAAGCAAGAAAATAAGAACGATAGCAGAAAAAACTCCTGACTGTACCAAGAAACGAAGCACCAGCCACTATCAGGATTAAAGTGAGGGTGATGCGTATGTGCAGCTGGAACAGACCACCATCATCCCCGACGATCGAGCACATAACAGTTCATCAGCTACCTTCACGTCTGCTAAAGAAACTCTAAAAGTCCTCCTACCTCCTGGTTCTGACCTCTGAGTTCTCTGTGAATAACTTCTCTCTTTCTCAGGATAGTTTTCCTCACCGCGACGAGAAATTCACAGAAAATATCAGAGTTCTCAGAATCAGCAGCAGCAGCTCTGAGAAGCTTCATGAGAACAGGAGAATAAATCAGCCATCGTTGGTGCTGATGCTGCGCAGAAACACTCAGGTTCCCAGATTTAATGTAAAACATCAATACGAGAGCTCGCGCGGATGTGATCGATGGTGCAAAGTGCACGTGACGCTCAGTTAATAAACCCCCAGACTGTAAATAATCTCTGACGATATGCAAATACACAGTTTAGGTCTTAGATCACACAGAGCCTCGCTCCTGCTGAAACAAGTGGTCATCTCCAACATGTCTAATGTGTCCAGACGACAAACATTTTCCTTTTGGCCGACCTGTGCGGATGCAAATTTAAGAGTTTAATACAATGGCTGTAAAAGATTAATATCATATCTACCTCTGCTAGTCTCAGACCCGGAGAGTTAATAAGTGGCGCTTTGTTAAAACTGCTGGTGTGGCTCACGATAAACAAAGTGTCCTGATGTCCCAGATTACAGGACCAGCGAGAAGAGCCGTCACTCCCGGCTCCTCGTGTATCTGTGAGTAGGATAACAGCTGTGAGGGGGCGCTATTACCCTGATCACGGTCTTCTTCTGACCCTAAACGAGACGTTTTCAGGGCCTAAAGAGAACCCAACACGACAGCAGGGTCTCCCGGCTGTTAACATCCTCAATCGATTAACGCCTGAATGATTTTTTCATTTCACCTTTTTTCACCTATTTTATTGGTTCAACTTTACTTGAGTTGGTTACAATCAGTCACCAGTTCACTGTAATATTTGGAATTTTGTTCATTGTGTATCAGAAATATTCTGTGGAAACAAACTGACTTCACGTGTTCATTGTTTACGGTTGTGTTCAGTGTTGTTACTCAAGCATCCATAAATTCATCTCCGGGGGTCAATTTTCCACGTTATCTGTTACCATCAAGCTCCTCCTCTGAACTCGTCTCCTCCGTCTCACAACAATCAAGTCCATTAACCCATCAGATCGATTTATAGGACGCCGGCTTCACGGTCAGATGTGCTGTGAGCAGCAAACCGTCTCCGGGGGTTTCTCCGATTGTGTTTGTCGAATTAACCGCGATGTAACACGTCACCGTGGGGACGCAGACGCACGATGACAAACAACAACTGGGTTAATCTGACATACCAGTTGATGCTAAATTGTTCCACTCGTGTGTGCACAAATTGATTTTTTCTCTCCCTTTCACAATAAAAGTCCTAGCCATGGCTGCTGAGTGCACAGAGGAATCACCCTGCTTAAATGTGAAGTAGAAGACTTTGTGCCTTTTCTCCTCTCGTCCTCCTCGATCAGTCACAGCAGATGGACGCCCCTCCCCGACCTGCCACTGGTTTCTTCCTGTTAAAAAGGGGGTTCTTCCTTCCCACTGTTGCCAGGTGCTTGCTCGTAGGGGATTGTCTGATTATGGGGGTTTTGCTGTATTACTGTTTGGTCTTTACCTTACAACAGAAAGCGCCTCCAGTCAGCTGTTGCTGTTATTTGGTGCTATATGGATGAAATAAAATTGAATTGTATTATTTGTGAGACTGTTGCAAAGCAAAAGTCCTTCTTTATGTTGCTGTCTGAAGAATTCTGTTTTTCATAACTAGTTCTGTATTTTGTAGCACACAGACAACCATTCGCTCTCACATTCACGCCTATGAGCAAGTCAGAGTTTCCAGTTACCCGATCCACACTAACTGTCTTTGGACTGTGGGAGGAAGCTGGAGAACCCACGTATACACGGGGAGAACGTGCAAACTCCACACAGAAAGAGCCCGGTCTGATGGTGGAATTGAACTCAGGGCTTTCTTGCTGAGGCAGCAGTGCTAACCACCGCGCTATAATACCTACAAATAAATGTTAAACTGAAAGGAGAAAGATTAAAAGACACAATCTCAATGTCTTAAAGAAAAATACCACAAACTAACCCAAATCCTGGTCTCCTCTTCATCCAGTCCACACTGTGGAGAGTATGCTCTTCCAATAATTAGGCTTCCTTTTAGTAAAATCTTCCAGGAAGAGCGTTGCTACTATAATTTAATCTTCTGCACAGCAGCTGACAAACATCAGAAGGACGCAGGAGGAGGAAGAGGAGCCCCTTCATTACTCTCTGCATCCTCCCGCCTGTTTATTAAGAGGGGAATAAAGCTGCCAGAGGACTGTAGAGAAAACACACGGCGTCAGGAAAACCTCGGACAGAGGAAGCAAGCGTGTCGAATTTCAGAAATGAATGTTTAGTACATTTGATATTGTGGCCAAACAGGTTTGTAAGGACAGGATGTTTCCAGAGTCCATCAACAACCAAACCTGGAAAAATATGATCATAATGTGGAAGAATTTACAGTTCCCCTTTGCTTAGCTCCACATGCACAACATCCTGCAGCAGTGACGTACCAGCCACAGCAGCTGCTGGGAAATAACAGCTCCATCATAGACGCCCAGTGAATCTGCATTTGGACTCAGAGCTGTCGGCTGTTTTGTGTCGTGTTGGAATATTTGTAGTTCGGCTTTTTCCCTCATTTTTTAACTCTGCTTTTTTTTACCCAGCCAACTCCCAACCAGTGCTGCCTGCACCTCACTTTGGTTCTGCCACATTATTCTTCCTGTTAGAAAGGAGCTCTTCCTCCCCACCAATGCCACGTCGATAGGGGACTGTCTGATACTGTGATATCTTCACTGATCACAAAGGGACTCAAACCAATCCATCTCCAGTCTGATTCTGTAAACAAGGCTTCGTATTTTTCAAGTTTGGCTTCCATTCAGCGCCTCACCGTGTGCCTCAAATTTGTTTAGACCTCGTTACGCCTCAGCACAGTGTTTATAGATGTGAATACTGCAGACCCGAGTAGAAATGCAGGAAACTTTGGAAGTTCATGAGCTCTCAGAGTAACCTGAGTGCCGATAAAGTCTGCAGGAAAATAACTATGACTAAGCTTTTATCGGACAGAGTTCCTGCAGGGTTATCACTCTCAGTTCGGTAATGGGGATGTAATCGAGTTGTACTCAGCCACAGTAACAACATCAGCAGGTTCTGTTCAGTGTCTGTGGCCACCGATCCACAGAGGATTAGGTTTTGGAGTGGATGTGAGGTGATGTCACGGGTCTGATCTGAACCCCAGCGGCTCACGCTAAGATAAGAACCGGGCTAAACGAGTCACGTGGACGCAGAGAGACGAGGTTAATGCGCAGATAGCGAGCTTCTTCCTGATGTGGACTTTTTTGATAAGACAAAAATATGATTTAAACCTGAGTGCAGATTCAAAGGCTGTAATGGATCGCTTGCAAACACACATCACAGTCAGTTTTTAAAAGCCTTGTGCTGAACTACAAAGGTAAATGTAATGTGGGACGGAAATGTTTCGGCTGGAGGTGGTACTGCAGAAGTGTCCATGATGTTCTGAGCGGCTCCGTGTGGAGAGGTTCGAATATCTTAGAGTCCTGGAATAATGAAGGACGAGAGCGACAGACGGTCTGTTGTGCTGAAAAGAGAGCTGAACGTGAAGGTCGATCTACTTTAATATGCCCACCTATCGGCTGTGGAGGTCCATGTCATGTAGATATGGGCGCATAGGTCCCCGAGAGGTTTCATTAAAAGATTAGGTTGATTTAGAGGAACAACCTTTAATCCAGAACTCTTTTTTCTGACAGAGATCTGACTCACTGGAATGAAAACTGTGTCACATTTAGAAGAGTCTGGAGTCCGCTGTGCGCAAACAGCCTTTATTTTAATTTTGTTTTTTTAATAAAATAATTAACATGAATTATGAACAGCTGACGGTCCTCTTTTCAAATATGGAAAACAGACAGATTTCAATTAGAAGCAATTTTTAGAAGAATAGAAAATTAGGAATGAGATTAAATCAGAGAGCTGTCTGTCACGGTCCTGGGTTTTGAGTTTCTTGTGCCTCTGAGTTTTTTGTATTATGTTCTCAGTTCTCTTTGTTGTCCCAGCTTATTCTTTAGTGTCTTAGTTTGGTTTTCTTGTATTCTGTTTAGTTCTCTGAGTATTTAGTAGCTGCCCTCTGTGTCTCTTTGTTGTTGGTGTTGTCTGTGTTTCTTAGTTGCTCTGTCTCCCCTAGTCTAGTTTGCGTCTGTGCTACTTCCTGTTTTACTTTGAAGGTCTGTGTCTCATGTGAGTGTTTCCTACTTTGCTTCCTTGTCTCGTCAGTCCTGATTTCTCCCAGCTGTGCCCTCCTTCTGTGTCTCATTCCCCTCGTTACTTCCCAGTGTATTTAAGCCCTGTGTTTCTCTGAGTCAGTGTCGCGTCGTCCCTCTTGCTGTGTGGATCTCCCTGTGAGTTTTAGTTCATTGTTTCCCAGTTTAGCTTAGTTTACTTTGTATGCTCGTTCTTCTGTGACCAGCAAATAAAGCTGTGATTTTGAGTTCTTCGCCTGAGTCTGTGAGTCCTGCACTTTGAGTCCTCATCTCCTGCCTGCCACACAGCGTTTCATGACACTGTCAGCCTCTGCATCAGTGCAGGTACGATCTCAGCCTGGATGTGAAAGAGAATAAACAACCCTAAATATTAAAAACCTCCCAAATACTGATCTAGAAATTTCCAGACTTTGATTTTTGGGGTTTTGTGGGATCTGTTTCTGTAGGTAACAGTCCAGATTCACCATTTATGGGTTCAGTGATAGGAAAGGAAATTCTTCTCTTTCCTTGAACTGTGAACACAGTAAATACATTTAAAACTGTAATGAAAGAAAGAGAACAATAAGAAGAGAAAATGGAGGGTCAAAGGTCACAGACTTTACTGGGGTGCCTAAAATGTTTGAATTTTATTTGCCACATTGGGTGGAGAATTATCAAGAGTTTAAATTTTTCTGCTTTACGTGATCGGCAATCAGAACTTTGGATTTTGGGAGATAAACAGTAATTTAGCAGCTGTTAGACTGATTACTTCATTTTTGAGGGGAGATAAAAATTTGTTTTAATTCTGTTTATCTGCAATAAATGTAACCTCATAGAGTTTATTATAACAACCTGACTGGGCTTTCCAGTTGACCTTGACCTTTAACCTTTCAGATCCACTTATCAATGGCGCTGTGAGCCGAGGGTCTGAGATTATGTCTGAGTCTATTTTACACTTAGTGCTGCTTCGTGCCATCAAGAAAATCCATTTCAAACCCGATCAGGGCCTTCAGATCAATTTCCGCGCACACCCATGGCAGAATACAGAATCTACAGGCCCAGGGGTCAAAGGTCACGCCTTATCATATTGAAACGATGCAATAAGTCAGCAGGAAGCAGCGGAGCTCACCTGTCATCTTAGCATTTATATCGAGAGTCCAGGACTGCACTGGGACTCTTTATGGAGTTTGATGGGGACAGATGAAGGACAGGAAGCAGCTCTCTGTCATAAAGCAGTAATGATGATGATGATGGTGGTGAAGAGCACACCTCCAGGCATGCAGAGAGAGCATGCAGATAAAGAGGTGAAGCTGAGCTCAACCTCAGTGAGAGCTTCATCACCTCACAGAGGAAGAGGAGCTGAAGATGAGAAGATGAGACAAACACAAAGACTCCGAGTCTTCTCTCCTGACTCTTAAAGTTGCACGTTTACAAATTCACAGCTTTGACCAGAACATAGACTGTATATAAAAGATGATCTACACACATTTTGGACCTTTATGGCCATCTTGCTCTGTTGGAGCCTCATTCCTCAGTTTGCACATCTCCTCATTTTTAAATCTCACACAAACACTGAAGGGCAGAATTTTTAATCACCTTAAAGAACTGAAACATCTGAAAAGTTGTATTTGTAGTTGTAGGTGTGTATATTTCAGCCGTGACCACACCTCTTTCATACACTGAAAGTAAAAATACACGCACTCTCCTCCTGATGTATATGATCGTGATTTTTACTGAAGCACAAGCTTCTCAAACAGTCTGCAACAGTCATATTATTTAATAGAAACTGCATGAAAACAGCACAAACACAGTCCTGCAGTCTCCAACTGTCTGACAGAAACACAGGAGGGGAATGCAGATGCTGTCCGAGGGCAGCTGGAGGCTTTTAAAAAGAGACAAGAAAGACCAAGATATGAAAAAGGTGTTTACTGACTCAGGTTTGTTCCTTCAACTTTATATAAAATGATTAAAAAGTGTAACAGCGGTCTGTCACCAGAACGGGGAGCCAAACCAGCTCCAAGTGCTTCAAAGGACAAAAATGGTTTCAATTCAACCAAAAATAATTGTAATTGTTCTTTTCTCTCAGAGTGGGATTTGGGTCACATTCACAGTTTGGTGGTCTGCAGCAGCTGCTTGCTGATTTGAGCCCAGCAGCACAGACACGTTTCACTGTGGAGAATCCTCTTCCTCGCTTCCTCCCAGTGTAATGATGCCGTGTGGGTCAAGGTTATCTCCGCCCAGCACACGGTCATCGAGCAGGGAGAGCGCCATCATGAACGCAGCTGATAAAATGAGTCACGCTCAGTGTTTAAAATACAACAAGCGTCTGTAATCAAGACAACGGGGGCCTGACGAGCCAGAGGTGTTTAAATATGTGCGTTTTAAACTCAAGGCCGCACTCAGACTAACACCACAGCCAACAATGCTCGACTTCATTCACACAAACCAGCCTGCAGGCTGCACCTCTTTATGTTTATCATCTATTACCATCACAAATAGAATATAACATTATTCCTGCAGTTTAACAAACTAATGCCCAGTTAAATTTCACTTAATCATCAAATCACAAATCAAACAGTTTCTTCAAGGTGCTCAAAGTAAAGATCTCACAATATTAAAGAGAAAATCTCAATACAGTGTATCAGCAAGCACTTGGCGACAGTGGGAAGGAAAAACTCCCTTTCAACAGGAAGAAACTACCTGCAGGACCAGGCTCTGGAAGGGCCGGCCACCGTCTGAGGTGAAGGAAGAAAGACAGGACAAAAGGAGGTCAGTCTGCTGTCCTGTCTTCCTTCTCTCACCCCAACCGGTCGCAGCAGATGGCCCCGCCCCTCCCTGAGCCTGGTTCTGCTGGAGGTTTCTTCCTGTTAAAAGGGAGTTTTTCCTTCCCACTGTCACCAAAGTGCTGCTCATAGGGGGTCATATGATTGTTGGGTTTTTCTCTGTATCTATGAAGCGCCTTGAGGCGACTTTTGTTGTGATTTGGCGCTATATAAATAAAATTGAATTGAATTGAATTGCCTTTCTGTCAGCTGTGATTCATTTCTATGCTGATGACAGACAGATAAACTTGCCTATTAGACCTTCTGACACTCGCAAACTGAGTCGGCTGCTGAGGATCTTTAGCATCTGGTTTAATGGTAATCTAAATCTTTGGACAGTCACACAGCAAAACTAAGACAATAATGTTTTTATTTCCATTAGGAAGCTAAAAGGCATCCTGCAGTTATAACAGCACAGTCCAGACCTTTCACCGATGATAAACATGTTTTATTTTGGAGGAGCTGTTTGGTAAATCTCTTCTTTTACTTGATGTTTAATAAAGTCACGTGTAAACACGAGCCTGCAGACACCACCGTGCACATGTTCAGTACTTGGCCTCTTGTTGCCCTTCATGTTGAGCCATTTGACGTACTTTGGTTCTTAAAGGTGTTTTTCAAACGTGCTCTAAAAATACTAACTTACCTTCACAGGAGTACTTCACCCCAGCGTGGCCTCAGTTTGTGAAACGCTGATGTGCGCTGCACTTTACACCAAAGATTAAAGGTTGAATTTCTGTTTTCATCTGTCGCGGTGCTTAAAGTTACGTCTCTTTATCTCTAATGTTTTATTCCATCCTTGCATTTGCTTTCTTAGATCATCATAAAGGTTATTAAAAAGAAACTGGAGGTTAATATTTGTTTCCTGTGTGGATGTGTGATCATGAGCTCTGTGCACTGAAGCTACCTTTGATTATCCTCCGATAAGCCGCCGCTGCGTCTGTTCTGACGCGCTCTGGGTGGACGTGGGACGGTCTTCGTCACTTTGATTTCACCTTCAGCCTGAAAAAGAAGAAAAAGACGACGCAATCAGCTTTCAGTCTTTGGTTTCTGAACTCTTTACAGGCGCTCTGCTGCAGGATTTAACAGCCATATGGAGGATTAATAGCAGCAGCTGCTGCGATGCTGCAGCATCAGCATCTGTTTCTCTTGTTATAGACGCAGTAAAGAGTTTCTTTATTAAAACTCTGAGTTTAACACGGCTGATCTTCAGAGGAACAAGTGAAAAAAGAACAGTCGTAGGTCCACACACAGTCAATCATCAGCACTCAAACTGTAACATCACTGTAATCTGACTTTTTACAAAGCGTCCCAACCTTTCAGAAAACATCCCAAAAGTTCTCTGTGAAGTTTTGCAGCAGCCTTTTAACCTCTTCCTGCTGCAGCGTCCCGTACCTGGCTCAGGTGTGACGTGTACCTGTACGTACCCTGGGCATTGTCAGGAGGAGGTGTCCGGTGGTTTGGGACCTCTGAGCCGTCGAGCTGTCGGGCTTCACTTCGGCCGGCAGAACCACCTGAAATATCTGCAGAGTAAATTATTCACAACTTTAATTAGTAAGATTAATGCGCTGATCTGGCACCGACGCCATCCCAACGTGTCAAATGACTTTAATCATTAGCGGGTCTTTTTATAGGTACGCTTTCCAGAAAGGACTCGAGAGAGAGTGACCAGAATAGCTCCAAAACAGAACGGCGGCGATCAATCACAGGAGAGGAAGCCTGTGGAAACCAGAATCAAGCGTGTGGGACGACAAATCGGGCATAAAATTGGACTTTTTTTCATTTAATTCAATTTGATTATGAGGGGAATGTGAGGAAAGCCACACTGAGGAGGAAAACTCTTCAGCTGCAGAGTGTGAGACGTGTCTAATGTGATATACACTCCTCACAGATGGCTCCTCCAGTCAATTCTCCCCGCTCTTCTCAACGAGTTCGTATTAAAAACGAATTTTAAAAGCCCGGACTGATGTATCACTGTGTAAATCACCCTGCCCGTCCAATCAGGACGACCTCTGGCACACAACAGCCATCCATAAACACTGTAACAGCTTGAAGTGCAGCCATGACATTCAGGAGTCTGGCAGCGAGAAGAAGAACTCAGAAGCTGCAGGGCTCAGAATTCATGAGGGGAGAAAGTTCATCGTGTGGTGAAACAGCTGTTTAACCAGGCTTAAAGCAGCAGAAGTCAATGCAGAGCAGCAACATCTGCGGCTGAAAACGACGGCTGCAGTTGTAAACAGTCTTCCCTGAAGTCGTGAGAAAAGTCTTCACAGGACTCTCTGCAGCCGTGAGAAAAACTGAGTCCACCGCACCTGCAGCAGGAATGACTTTAACTTCTCTTTTTCAGTATAGACAGTGATGTGATCAGTGCTCACTAGGGATGGGTACCGGTATCCGGTGCCATCTGACATAAACGGTAGTAACCAGACCGAAAAGCAGCGCACATTTCGGTACTTTATTTTTTCCTGAGCTGTGATACACTTTAGATTCTAGCCAATCATTTTACGTTTCCAAGGATAGTAGGCGGGTCCAGGTACGTACGTTCTTTTAGAGCAGAGCTACAGATTAAAAATG